ACAGACATGTTTATTTTTCAGAAGACAAGACATTTTCATTGAGGTTAGACAGGTTCAATGAAGACTTTGAACTCCTAGGGAGACGCCGCTCTGCTGCTGCAGTAGCAACAGTGGCCGTGGTGGCGCCGTTTCACCCCAAGTGGGAAAAGTCTGTATAATAACCAGAGCAAATCCTAAAGCAATCCTATAATATCATAAAGATTCCAGATAATTAAAGAAAATGAGGAACGCTTCACGAATTTGCGTGTCATCCTTGCGCAGGGGCCATGCTAATCTTCTCTGTATCGTTCCAATTTTAGTATATGTGCTATCGAAATAACACAACAGTACCTTGTTTCTGAGGGGTTCTTAAAAGCTTCTGAAGGGGTCGAGCACTCTGTGACGGTGGCACCACTTTAGGGAGTCTAAAACCATGTTTCCGTGTCTCTGTCTAGGTCCAAAACACAACTGCTGAGAGGTCTGGCTGCTGTGCAGTGAACCCTGACCATTCCACCGGCTCCAGAACCTGATCCGACCCGCTTCAGGTCCCGTCTACTCTGCTGAGGAGCGCGAGAGGGTTCTGGGAAATCTAGTCAGCCAGCGCTGACGTCACAGGATTGGTGAGCTGCAGACAAAGAGGACAAAAGAATCCCCTCACAGCTCCGCCTACATTCCTCCCAGACGACCTTTGACCACCAGTGAGCCATGGGAGGACACGCAGAGGCAAGGGGGGAGGGGGGCGCACAGAGAGTGACGAAGGAGGCAGACGCGTATAGAGTGACGAAGGAGGAAGCTTAGACGGAGGGGGGGGGGCAGCATGAAAGAGGCGGTATGAGGAGAGTCCTCACGCTGCTGCTGTCCCGACTTCACATGAAGATCCTCTTTGCGCTCTGAAGACGGCTGGATGACGTCACTTTTTCTTGGAGAATCGGTAACAATGAGAAACATTTGTTCAGAGCCACAAGGTGTGAAACTAACTCGCTGCGGAGACTAAGAAGAAGAGATCACAACCTCATGAGGAGACCCGAGGTCAGAGAGAAGACGTGATGGATTTTGGGGGGATTCTTTATGAAAAACGTGTCTCTCTATATATTCCGCCACAACAACGGCTCAGATGAACAGACGCAGAGGAACATCTGCTCACGTCGTCCAGACCACACTTCTGTTTGTGTTCCTCTGAACAAACTCTGCTCTTCCTGCTTCCTGTTTTCATAAAAACAAGAACACCGGTGCAGCTCCACAAAGGTCCAGCAGGTGTCGTCCTCCATGGAGTGAGAGGCGCCGTGGTCTGAAGGAAAATACAAAGTACAGCATGAAACATGAGCCACTACTACTCATTCGTAGTAATGTGACCTTATTGAACATTGTTATATTGTTTCACAGTAATGAATCCATAGTACATGCGTTTAAAGTGCGCATGGAGATCCCCAAACAGTTAAAAACATGTCACAATTAATGAGGGATTTTGACTTTCTACATGAAATCTCACCTCTAACGAATCAAGATTAGTTTTAATTGTGAGTTGAGAATAAATAATTTGGCTCTGCACAAACACCGAACAAGCTCTCAATCGAATTGAAACAAGCGTCAATAAAATTAAAAATTAAAAAAACATTACAAACTGGCCACACTCGGCTTCACGGTATAGCCTACTGTGCTGCTGTCGGGGGCAAGACTGTGGAGCAGTGGAGGGAGGAGGTCCAAAGGACTCATAGCGGGGGGGAAATGAGGGTTTTTATTTGTTGTTTTATTTACAGTTGTTATTATTGTCATGTGTGTGTTATTTAAGCAGGTGTTATAGTGTGTTATTATTGTCATGTGTTATTTAAGCTATTAAAGTGTATTTTATGCACTTGGTTTTGAAAGCTTTTTCATTCCATACACACCTGTCTATTAGGGAAATCTCCATAACTGCCATCATTTAACACACTTTGTTTGCAACTTGCCGGAGGTGGGACTCGAACCACAGATCTTCTGCATCACAGCCCACATCTGGAGCACAGCTAGCCCGTCCTCCCCTCACCTACTATTTTTGCAACCTGATCACAGAGAAGAACGAACCATACGAACCAGCAGACGGAGAACTTGTTCTTCTATAACGAGCCTGTCGCCATCTTTCCCGCTCCAGCATTCTTCCACTTGGAGGAGCAGCCCCAGTGGAGCAAGTCGGCCACTCTTCCCCGTGTGGCGTCCGCCGCTGAGCCGCACAGTCAAGGCGGTGTCACGCAGACTCCGCCAGAAGGACCGTCGGCTACCCAGAACCAGGCCGCGGAAAATGAGGACCAGCTCGGGGTTCTGGAGAGCAATCAGTCGGAAACTCCGGCCAGCGCCTCCAGAGAGCACTTCTGCCTGACGGAGTCCGCATCCGTCCCGGGGACGTTGAATAAAATGAGGGGCGGCGGCAGACACTCTGTGCGTGCCTTCGCAGAACTCTCTAAAAGCCCCTCGACTCAGCCTCCCCGAGCCTGGTTCGTATCACTGGAGGGCAAACCCGCAGCTGAGATCCGGTACGCAGTGTCAGAGCAGCAGAGGCGGCGAAGGCCGGTTGAGAGTCGGGAGACCAGCTTAGACTCCGGCGTGGATATGAGCGAACTGAACCAGGCGCCTGGCCGCAGGGCCGTGACTCTGGAGCGCAATGCCACTTTTCTCAAAAGCAGTAAACGTGCACCTCCATAGTAAAACACCTCCAACATCTGAGTTTGGATACACAGGATAGATTCTGACACAATACTAATTTATCTTTTAATTGCTTCATGTTCTATATCGATGTTGTGGTGCCAATCCAAGTTGTGGGTAGAAGGCTAATTCATACCAGCGGATTGGCGACGGTTGGTAAAGCTGTACAAAAGTCCAAAGCATGTGAATTAAGCAGTTTTCTTCTAGCAGACTTTAATGCCTCAAACATAGTTTAAGAAATAAATAAAATACTTTTGGATATCATGTCATACTGTTACGTTAGTTGCCACAACTGATGCCTCCGAAGGGAAAAACAGCCACACGATTGAGATTAATGAGGTCAAACACCTTCATAACGAGCACTGTGGAATTTTAACCGGCCGTTGGGATTAACAGACAGTTCACAAGGCTAACTGAACACGACTGAATGTCTCTTGTTTTAACTGTCACCTGATTACGTGTTCTCATGTTTATTTTTGAATTAAAGTGAATAATTTAATATTTTAATAATAAATAAATAAATAACTCATGACCGTGGTATTTTTTGCATTTCAATATATACACTATATATATTATATACGTATAACTATTTTCTATGAATCCGGTTTTAAGGAATTATAGTCTATATACTGTATAAAGTTACTGTTAGATAATAATAATCTCTTCAATCTGAATTACAGTCACTTCTGGTTTCCGACATTAGTTTTGACTTTTCAATCAAATGTACCGCTATATTATTATATATATATATATATATTTTTATTTTGGGTGGAAATGTAATTAAAAAGTTGAACTGAAAATATCCTCCAACCTTTCTAGAGGCCTTTACTTAACAGAAACCCACATATGCTTTAGCAGTAAATAATAATCAGCATGAATGATGCGTCTGCTTTCTACCAGCTCACTATGTGTGATAACAGAAACTATTTTCACAATGTACATACACAAAGCTTGATTCTTGCAGAATTGATGAAATATGTAAACATCATTTTCCAGCTAAGAGGAGGAAAGGTCAGCACCAGTGAGGGCACATGTGAATAGTTGATGTATTAGCAGCACCATGTGGCCATTTCTTGAGCACTTTAGTGGTTTTCTGATAACTCCAGAAACACAAGGTCTAACATAGAACTGGATTGAAAAGATAGCTTCTGTCATTTAAAGTGGTTAATATTGTATAGCATTATTCAAATTATACTGGTGGTTGTATTTTTGGGGTTGCACTTTATCTACATTACTACATTGTATTACAAGTTTCCATAAAGGCTTGATTCATTACCGTACAAATGATTCATTACCTTATTCAATATTTGCTCTTTTTCATACACTTGCATGGTGGCCACAGCAGGTTGTTAGCCGTGTACATCAGTCCAGTAACCTTTACTAGTGTAAATCACTTCAGTTAAATCTCAAAACTCACAAAAACAATTTAACATCCCACAAATCACATGCAAAATTAAACGTGCCATTCAAAATAATATAGTTAATTCTCCAAAAATAAAGTGTTCAAATGACCCACATACAAACACTATGATGTCAATAGATATTTCTGAGAACCAATTGAAGGGACGTAAGACAAACATAATTGTCTAATTGTTTGTTTAATAAAAAGTCGTTGGACTAAAGATGATCTGTATGAAGCACATGCAGTCATGATCACATCAACCTGTTGAGGGAACCAGAGAGAGAGTTTGCCCCCCGGTCTTCCCCTCAGTGCATGTTTATGTATCTGCTACCTCCACGTTCCCATAAAAAAACCCACTATTATGCATAGCTGATTTAAAACGTTATTTGTGATTCTAATGAAATAGGAATAAAGATGAAGATCTCGCTCGTACATGAGCTCATAGCGCGTCATTGGACTGATAGCAGCTACAGACCAAAACGATTCCCTTTGTTACAATGACATTTAACAAACTATATCATCTTATGGAAGAGCTCATACAAAAAATGTCAGCAGTCCAAACCAACAGCTTGCACATCACATATATTTCATTTGAAGAAACGTTTGGGCTGATTTGATAAGCAATAGATAAGCAATCTAGATTATTATAGTTATAATTAATCATATATTATCATAGACTGACTTCGACTACGAGCAGATCATTGACAAACATCCCTCCTCACTGTCTCTGCAAACCCCACATACCCTCACTTGTACCCGCCCCCATGGGTAGCTAGGATGATTGACAGGTTCCACAGCTTCACATGTCATGAGACCTTCACTGACCCCCTGAACTCGGTAAATTAAAAGACAATTACTAGTATCCAACAACTTCTTCCCGTAAACACATTAACACTTATAAAATAACAGGTTAACATTAAATATGTTACTAGTTATAATATCTTTATTATCTAATTATTGCATGGACCTGCACCAGAGCTCAATTAATATATCCATATATAATGATATAAAGAAGATGTTCAGACATTGTGACTGAGGATGCATTCCTATGTTCAGAAATGGTTGGATAAAACATTAGAACACACAGACACAAAATGGACGAGCAGGATTCCATGGTTGCTATGGTCCTTCCGATGATTCTATGGAATCCTCATTTGAACATAAACAACCACTCAAGCAGTCACAAAAAGTGTTTCCTCAAGTTCAGCTCAACGATTTCTTGCTAACAGCCTTTTTTACTGCGGACTTCTTCCTTCATTACAAGAACTAAAGAGTCACAGAGACTGACCAGAGCGACTAAAGTAACTTTCATCATGGAAAATGTGAGATTTGAACCCTTTGAATGTCAACAATGTTTTCTGTGTTTTACCGTTGAGACCTTCAGACCCCTAGAAGTGACGTGATAATCAGCTCTGCTATGAACACCCCCCCCCCCCCTTTAATTAGACGACTGGTCTCAGCTGACAGCTGTACTGTACCTGCTTGATATTATAACTATTTAGTCAAAACCAAAGACCACAAATGTCTTCAGCAAGTTTCTCCAGGAGGTTTAAATGCAGACAGTCTTTTCACTTGATCACATGTTCCTTAATTCATGTTATTAATAGTTAAGTGTCGGTCCGCCAACACTGAGGCACATACAACCTGTCCACACGGCGTACTTGTGTGAGGAACAGGTGTTCACAGCGGCCCTGCAGCTCAGGCCCCTACAAACTTCATCTGGTCTCTGTGAACTCTTTCGATGGTTGAATGTGCTGATAGAAGCTCTACGCGTGTGGAAATACACGCCATGTTTTAGGGGAAATATCAGTTGGTTTTCACAGTGAATTGAGAAATGAAACGTTCTGCTTTGACCGTACTTGTAAAGCTTCCTTCTAACACAAGTCTATGTTGTTGCAGTGTGACGTTCCCGTTCTCCTGACCGACAACCAGACAGGAAGGAGAACCTCTGCTCGCCAGGCAGAGAGCGCGTCGAGGCCCTCAGCCTGGAGACAGTGTTCATGCTGCAGGGACAAGCAGGTGAGACTTGTTCTTTCAAACTGTTCACAATGGAATCCTCAGGACCCGGAGTGAGTCAGTGTACAAACAAGCAAAGAGATTGCATATTAAAAATCCTTCAAAATGGACAGAATCTGTGAAGGTTCTCTGCAGTGCATGTGATGCAGAGGTTTCTCTGTGACAGTGTGTTGTTCAGTATGAAGTTCACTCACACCCTTTGATGTGTTGCTGACCAGGGGCCGACTCTAAAGAGAAAGCGCCGGCCCTCTGCTGCTCCCGGAGACCTTCACCAGAAGAGGAAGCGCACCTCCGGAGCCCGTCCCCTCCCTGACCATCCAGAGGTGTTGGACTGTGTTCCCGCTGTGCAGCCCTCCCCAGCTGGTGACCATTCAGAGTCTTTGGTGGAGAAGCCTAGAGCCACCATCCCACCTGCTGACCTGCCCCGAGTCTCCTGTGTGGCCCCCAGCCTCCAGCCCTCCACTGCTCCACTGAACGACGGGCCTCTGAAGATATTCAACCTCCCAGTGGAAGAATACCAGCAGCTGTACCACGAGGTTGTTGATGAAATGCTGAGGTGCGTTGTGTCAACAATCGCTCACATAATTAGCACATTGTTCCAATCACAACTAAATGTATCGCTCAATATTCCCTCACAGCAACATTTGAACCACGTGTGACGTTGTGATTAAACTCGTTGTTTTTACCTCTCAGGTTCAAGAGCGGCCGTCTGCGTCCTTACACTCTGAGCCTGGGGCGCGTCATCAAGCAGAAGCTGTGGCAGAGACTGGACCGTCCCCTGTTCACCGAAACAGTCAACGGAGACGGACTGGTGCACGTGGATGTCTCCTACGGGGTTGGAGTCTTCCCTCCCCTCCACCAGGTGGACATTTTGGGGGAGCCAAAGCCAGGGACACCACCGAAGAGCTAAAAACTCAAAAGTAGCAATCTGCAGTTGCTGCCTCCAACCGCAGGTTGCCGGCAGCTGCTACCAAACCTCCACCTTATATAGGCTCAACCCCTAAACTGCTGTTACCACCTCCACCAGCAGATATTGGCAGACAGCTGGAAGCAAACCTTCACCTTGATCCTTTGCCAGTGACCTGCAGTTGTTGCCTCCAACTGCAGGTTGCTGGCAGCCAGCTGCAACCAAATCTTCACCTACGGCCTCTGCCAGTGACCTGTTGATGCCGCCTCCAACTGCAGGTTGCTGGCAGACAGCTTCAACCAAACCTCCACCTATGTCCAACGACCACAGTTGCACCACCTGCAGTCTCTGCCAGCCTACACCTAAAATCCTCTGCCAGCAACCTGCGGTTTTTGCCTCCAACTGCAGTCTGCTTGCAGACAACTGCAACTTAATTCCACCTTAACAGCCTCTGCCACAAACCTGCAGTTGCACCCTCCACTTGCAGATTGTGGTTGAGGGGCTACAACCAAACCCAAAGCCTTTGAAGCCTCAACGTAAAGCCTTTGTCAGATCCTGTATGTGCCGCCTCCACCTGCAGAGTATGGCAGGCAGATGCCGTTAAATCCTCCACCTTTAGCCTCTGCGACAATGTGCAGTTGCCTACTCCACCTGTAGACTTTTGTAGAAAGCTGCAGCAGAACCTCCATCTAAAACCACTGCCAGTTACCTATGGATTTTGCCTCCACCTGAAGATCCTGGTGATAATCTACCTTTCAAACCTCCACCTTCAGGCCCCTGCCACAAGCTGCTGATGTTTCATCCATGTGTCCAACCTCATCAAGATGCAGCCAAATCTTCACCTAAATAGCTTCTACCACAAACCTGCCATTCACCGTCTCCACCAGTAGATTGTGGCAAGCGGCTGAAACCGAACCTCCACCTAGAGCCACCTACAGTTACTTGTCGGCACCTAAACGTCCACCTTCCTGCCTCTGGCAAAACCTGCTGCTCACCACCACCGGCAGTTTGTGCAGAGTGCTGCCTTTCAAATCTTCAACTACAGCCTCTGCCAGAATCTACATTTGTTCCCTCCACTGGCACCTGCCGTTCCTCCACCTACGACCTCTAAATTGTCTTACTCCTGAGAAACTTCATCCACAACTCCCATTGAGCCAGAATTCAACGTGCTCCAGCGGCTGCATCCTTTGCGATGCTACACCTGAAGCCTCTCCCAGCTGCAACCGAACCTCCTCCTAAATAGCTTCTGCCAGCAACCCACAGTTGCGCCCTCTACCTGTAGATTGCACAGCCTCTGCTTACCCGTGGAAGCCTCCACCTGAAGATCCTTGAAGATCGCTAGAGCATCAACCTCCACACACAACCATCATCGTGCACCTACAACTCTGCCTAAACTATCTGCCAGCCAACTGTACGTCCTGCGATACAACATTAACCAAAGAGAGCTCAGCTTTCTCCTGCTGGTCTGAACTCAATTAGTGACATCAGGCTGATGCGTAGCAGAGTGACCATCCTGTAGACGTCATTTAGTTAAAAAGGATGTTTTATATTTGAGTCTTATAAAATACCTGGAGTAAACTCTTGATGAAATGAAAGACCTAAAATGTTAGAAAGTCTGTTTACTTTATGAATTTAAACACTCCTTCAATTGGCATTGGTTTCATAATTTGAGGGTGTTTTGGTGATGCCCGGTGACTTAAGACATTTTTTTGTGGTTTTCTCCAGTTGTTGTTGGACTCCACACGTCCAGATGTACCAGGAGCTGATCGAGAGCCGGGATCATTCCTTCTACCACAAGAGCCATGTTCCAGAGATGCTTATTCCTCCTCCACCTTCACCACCAACTCCTGCTCCTTGTCTTAACTTTTGCACTGTTGTTTAATAAATTCCATCATTGCTTTTGATCATTAGTTTTATTTAAATCTGAATTAATTGACAGAAAACTGATACTTTAATGTTCAAGATCCAATTGAGTAATTATGAATGACATTTTTTCATCCATTTTCTGTTTGTTGGTGTATCTTCCACAAAACACGATACCAAAAGCAAGCAGTAGTTTCAATTTGCATATTAAAACATTTCTGATAACAAACAAAACAGAATAGTCTTATGCAAAATAATATAATTGAGAAGTTTCATGGTTATTATTTTTACTTTTTAGAATTCTATTGTCTTGTATTTATTAAGATTTAGCACAACTTCAGAGCTCCCTCTGAAATAGATGTTTTATCAAACATCCGAAGGTTTTGAATTATTTTCTATATAGCCTAAATGAACACATTTCAATTTTACCTCAGAGGGCATCACAATCTGCACAACAGTATTTTTCCTCCTTTCTCACCTCTTGGTCATCGAAGTCCACTTAGACAGTGTAGGATATTAGAAATAAACTGACGACCCGGTTCATAAAATTACTAAAATGCATATAGTGTACACCACAATACAGCCATGAGTCTGAAACTGTGTAATCAATAAAGTAATGACAATGTTGTAAAACCACTGTAATTCTGCAGCTGTAATAGAATAACACCAATGTACAGCTATGATTGTATTTAATGTAATGTAATCAACTGGAATGCATGCATGCAATACTTGCACAACAACTGGTATTGACTGAGGCTCATTCGAAATCCGAGTTACATTGAACTCACCAGAAGACCACTCCCAGAGGTGTGGACACTAACTTTCACACCTTTACGCATTGGCATAAATACCTGTAGGCAACCATTGTTCTCGAGTTCGCTGGCGGAGGCAACAAACAGGCACTAGGGATGGTCAATGGGCCCTGTGGCCTGTTGGTTGCAGAGACCAGCGGCTCCTCAGCTGAGATGTTCTTTTTACCACAACACCCTTTCTTTTATTGAATACAATGATGATGATTTTACAATGATTTTAACCTTTCGATCAACGATGCCCAGACACACCGTCTGAACTGACGCCCCGGCGTGACGGCTCTGATGCTTCTCTAATGGTCGAGATTACTCTGGCTAAAGATAGGTCAAAGGGCCGGCTCTCATTGTTGAAGTACTTAATGCAGCAGGGCCGAGATCCTCCTTGTGGCACTGGCCCTCAATGGCAAGTCTGTGATGATCGTCAGTGAATCTGTGACGATCTTCAGTGAATCTGTGGCAACTCCGTGGCAGGCGTCACAACATTGAGCTGAGGAGCCGAGTGGGCGGAGCCACATCATCCGAGTACGGATGTTGTTTGTACGACAGGTCAGTTGCCATAAATCAGTTTTATGATTATGGTTGAGGCACCTGAGCCACACGTTCTCTTACAGCAGGGGTGTCAAACTACTTTTAGGTTAGGGCCAGACCTTTGATCAGTGGGCCAGACCGGTAAAACCATAGACGCTGGTTCGGTCGACACTACTGCCATCTAGTAATTTTATATTTTGTATTTAAACTCCTTAAACATGAGGTCTAAATATTGATTCTGCCCCAACTGAGTCTCTGTAATTTTATAATTTTTAAGTATGAATTAGGTTTTTGGTAGCACTCCATGATGACTCAACATAATGAAGCATTAATCAAAGGCTTACTATTGAGTAATTTACACTATAGATTCTTATAGTCAATATGTGCAAGATTCCCTGAACAGATATCTGAAACCTAGCTGAAGAATGGTTCCTAAAGATATGTTTAATTTTGGTTCGAAACATTGAGTCATGGTCTTTTTATGAAGGGAATTTTGGATTTAGAATTGTATTACTGTATCAAAGTAATTAGTGTTAAAATGTTCAATAACATGACACCAATATTAATTATTTTCACTTTTTTTTTGATTGCAGTTGACTCGCTGATGATGATTTTGAGAATGTCAAGACCCATTTTTTATAACTTACTAACATTTGTGCTTCATCTGACTCTACCGGATTGTAGTCACCACAGTCGTTATAATTGTGTGTAATTATTGTCATGTGTGTGTTATTTAAGCAGGTGTTGTAGTGTGTTATTATTGTCATGTGTTTTTTAAGCTATTAAAGTGTATTTTCTGCACTTGGTTTTGGAAGCTTTTTCATTTCATACATACCTGTATGTTTTCATGCCATACACACCTGTCTATTAGGGAATTCTCCATAACTGCCATCATTTAACACACATTGCAACTTGCCAGAGGCGGGACTCGAACCACAGATCTCCTGCATCACAGTACCCGGAGCCCCTTCTTCTCTGTTTCAATTGTTTCAATTCCTAGGAGCCAATGAGAGGCCTCAGAGCTTGTTTCAATTCTCGGCCGACCAATCAGAGGATCCACGGTTTGCGCGTCCAATCAGATGCTCAATTTGTTCCAATTTAGACTTCTCGATCCGCCATGTTGGATCACCGCTGGACTGCCGTCTCATTCTAACAATACTCGGCAGACGTAAGTACAACATGTCAACTATGTTCTCTTTTAGTACTACGGCGCATGTTAATGGCTGTTTATTATGAGTGAAAGCAGGGATACTAATACTATTTAAATGTGAGTGAATAAAAATGAGTTCGCACACAACAAACCTGCTGCCGATCGATGCTAGCGGCGGCCGTGACGTCACACACGTAACTTTTAGCAAAGATTTATGGTTATTATTACTAACTTTAGTTTAATACGGTGAATGGAGCTCAGTCTAAAACGCGTATTGGAGCTAATTGGTTCGTCTCTCCGTGTTTCTGTGGCCGTTTCCCATCCCCCCCTCGTCGGTACCCAAAAAATGATCCCTGGGACAAAACCAGTTGAAACCCCCTAGAGGGGGAATCTCCTCCTCACCTTTTCACCCTTGACGCGTTTTCATGCCTGAATGTGCTGTCGGAGACCGATGTGTTCACTGGTGACGTCACGTCTGTTTGAGGGCAGAGTTTAGATTCATAACTTCATGTTTAAATTGAACATTAATGCCTCGTCGGTATTCACAGCGTGCAGGTTTGTTGTACCGTCTAGCACAGATTCAGACTCCATGCGCGTGTACTCGTTGTACTTCACCTTTTAACTTTGTTTGAAAATGTCTTTTGACATTCCAGAGTCCATAAGTGGCGTTATTGAACATTATTTGCCATTAATATTGAAAAATAGTCAAAAGAAATAGTCAAAAGAAATGTTCAAACAAAGTAAAAGGTGTAGTACAACAAGAACACGCGCATGGACATATGACATGATTTTTGGGATGCTACTATTCACAACAGTGGAGGTATTGAATATTATTTGGCATAAATATTGAACATTGTTAATAATTACTCAACAGCAACAACAAGTACACACCCGTGTATGAACACCATGACTTTGGCCTTGCTACACTTTTCCGTTCTGGTATTGACTATTCCTCCCAATCAAACATATTCTGTAGTGTATATAAGCAGATCTCTCAATAACTACTGCTTTACTTCAACCACGCTTTTCGCCTTTTCTGTTTTTGTGGCGGAAATGGGCTTCAATATGATTGAGACATTAGTGGAATAAACAGTCATTTGGGACACAAAAACTTCAAAACACAAACTTTCAACATTAATATCGTCCAGTGGCCCGTTTTTCGTTCTTGGTTTATCAATTGAATGACAGAAAAACAAATCGTATTTGGTTTTGGGTTCATCAATTGAATAATACACGGATTGTTTACAGTCACAGAACTGACTGATCACTCTGTGGGCAACGGCGCCCTCACGTGGGCAAACGAAGCGACTGCTTCTCTCTGATATTATACAGGAATGAGGACAGACTGTTTGTAGTTTGGAGGACAGACATGTTTATTTTTCAGAAGACAAGACATTTTCATTGAGGTTAGACAGGTTCAATGAAGACTTTGAACTCCTAGGGAGACGCCGCTCTGCTGCTGCAGTAGCAACAGTGGCCGTGGTGGCGCCGTTTCACCCCAAGTGGGAAAAGTCTGTATAATAACCAGAGCAAATCCTAAAGCAATCCTATAATATCATAAAGATTCCAGATAATTAAAGAAAATGAGGAACGCTTCACGAATTTGCGTGTCATCCTTGCGCTCTCGAAAGCCCCTTCTTCTCTGTTCCAATTGTTTCAATTCCCAGGAGCCAATGAGAGGCCTCAGAGCTTGTTTCAATTCTCGGCCGACCAATCAGAGGATCCACGGTTTGCGCGTCCAATCAGATGCTCAATTTGTTCCAATTCTGACTTCTCGATCCGCCATGTTGGATCACCGCTGGACTGCCGTCTCATTCTAACAATACTCGGCAGACGTAAGTACAACATGTCAACTATGTTCTCTTTTAGTACTACGGCGCATGTTAATGGGTGTTTATTATGAGTGAAAGCAGGGATACTAAAACTATTTAAATGTGAGTGAATGAAAATGAGTTCGCACACAACAAACCTGCTGCTGATCGATGCTAGCGGCGGCCGTGACGTCACACACGTAACTTTTAGCAAAGATTTATGGTTATTATTACTAACTTTAGTTTAATACGGTGAATGGAGCTCAGTCTAAAACGCGTATTGGAGCTAATTGGTTCGTCTCTCCGTGTTTCTGTGGCCGTTTCCCATCCCCCCCTCGTCGGTACCCAAAAAATGATCCCTGGGACAAAACCAGTTGAAACCCCCTAGAGGGGGAATCTCCTCCTCACCTTTTCACCCTTGACGCGTTTTCATGCCTGAATGTGCTGTCGGAGACCGATGTGTTCACTGGTGACGTCACGTCTGTTTGAGGGCAGAGTTTAGATTCATAACTTCATGTTTAAATTGAACATTAATGCCTCGTCGGTATTCACAGCGTGCAGGTTTGTTGTACCGTCTAGCACAGATTCAGACTCCATGCGCGTGTTCTCGTTGTTCTTCACCTTTTAACTTTGTTTGAAAATGTCTTTTGACATTCCAGAGTCCATAAGTGGCGTTATTGAACATTATTTGCCATAAATATTGAAAAAAAGTCAAAAGAAATTTTCAAACAAAGTAAAAGGTG